TCATCCTTTCTGCTACCCCCATCTGTTAGTGTGCATGCGGCAGAGACTGCTTCCGTTTGATGCCGAGTGTCTGAAGGTATTCTGTGAAAGTGTTGCTGGTGTACTCCCCTGCACCGTCGCTCTGGAATTCTTGCAGTTTCACTCCAGACTCTCTTTCAGCGACAGCGAGCCACGCGACGAAAACGGAGTGCGCGAGATAACGCGCGGGAAGATTTGCTGTCCAGACATAGCGTGTAGACGCTTCGATAAATGTTATGACATACTTCTCGTCTTGAGGTCCTGCTTCAGGTAAGTTTAGTATGTCATTATAGACTTTCTGCATCAGTTTGTAACGAGTTGAACCAGGAAAGTGGCTTGGAAACGGATCGTGGGTAAGGTTGGCAACCGGACAGGTGGTGCAAACTGTCGGTCGAGACTGCGGCTTCAGCTCCGTGCCGTCAGGTAAAAGTAGACTATTCTTATCAAGAACTGCTGCTCGGATTGAATGATGAAGTATCCCTTGCGATGGGTGGCCTAACCGCTGATGCCATACATCTTCTGTGGCTTTGTGTCCTGATGATCGCATGTAGAAATCGGAGTTAGTATAAAAAGAAGAAAGAATGAAAGGAGAAAGTGCTGGTGACTTGTCAATTTCTCCTTCGACGAAACGTTTAAGAGGTAACGTGACATTAGAAGGCACTGCTGCAGTTGTGAGTACAAATGTTGACACTGCTTCTATTGATGTCGTGGCAGGAGTTTTGGCGACAGCTACTGTTGGACTCGGCTGCTCAGCTACTTCTTCCTGTTTTGCTTCTTCAACGACGTCAGGTTCATCAGCTGCTAGTCCACTAATTTCTCCCCAAAGTGGTGCTGGAGTTCCTTGGAAGGCGGCTCGGGTATTATAAAATGTTCGCCACGCGGTGGCACTTTCATCTGCGGTATTAAACTCCCAGGTATCCAACGCGGTAAGTACGGCGGCTGCAGTTCGAGAAGCTGTTGGTACAGTAGTTGCTCGAAAGTCAATATCCACGTGTTGATAATTTGTTTCTTCTGGGTGATCCCAGGGACCAAGTGCAAGCACGCGTTTAGAATCTCCAGAAGTTCCCTGTGCTTCGAACTGAAGAACTGACACGCCATGTTGAGTGGCGGCACGACCAAGATAAGTATTCGTTGAACTGTGCCAGAGCTCCTGATCCATCGTGTCACAATTGCCCTGTGTGCGGATTTTGTGTGCCAGAAGTTGAGCCGTGGAAAGAAGATTGAAGCCAAGACCAGCGACGATAAGAACATTGGTAACATGTAGTGAGTATCCCGTGTCGATAGATTCGAGCATTACGCTTCCAACATAACGTGTCATAATCGTTTGTCCGTTTGCGACTGTGACAGGTATCGGACGACGAAGTGGACGCTGGTTGGTTATGAAGCTTGTTTCTGCGGAGCACATGTGCCAACCGCAGCAGCTCTCGAGATACCAAGTTTTCGGACCTGAAATTATGCGAGCAAGGTTAGCGTAAACTTGAGGTAAAGGAATGCCTTCAGCACTTGTTGTTTCTTCAAGTCGTGTCTCGAAATCTGTTTCTGAAACATCAACTGTGGTGACGCATCCAAAGACCCCTTTTCCTGATGTGGCAGATGCGAAGACCGGCGGGCGATGCTGCGACGTCGATGGATTCTGCTGCAGTTTCGACATCTGCTGCTGCTGTGACTGTTGTGTCTTCGGTAACTGCTGCGATCGTTGATACGGCTGTGAAGTGCTGCGACGATTTTGATGACGGCTGCGACAGTTTTGGTAAGTATGTCCTGGTTTTTTACAGAAATGGCAGAATGGATACTTCGGTGGATGTCGATGCTGTGGTTCTGGATTGGGGTGTGCTGTACAATTTCGTTCTCCAACTACGGCCCTCGGCAAATTTTCCGAACGAGCAAAATGGGGGGTACATCTCGGCATCGAAAAATAGTATCACGCATGGAAGATTTTGGATCTTCGCTCCAACCAAGTCGTCCCATCACGTGATTGACTTTTTTATGAACGTCTCACCTTGCCCGTTTTTCGTGCCCATCAGGCAGCAGCTTCCAACCCCGCCAGACTGTTCGAAGGCTCGCGTGCATTTGCTACTGACGAGGCCGAAGCTGATGTACAGGACGAAGCCGTTTCTGAAGCATCCGAAGCTACCGCAACTGACATTCCCGAACCTGTAACCTCGACTGGCATACCAGAGTTTATTCCTCTCGCAGATGCTGACCCGGATGACGTTCGCGAAGTCCGTCTCAGTTACGAACGCGATCGCCAACAGCAGCCGATGCCCGCCGTCCCCGACGAAGCAGTTCGTGTTACACCTGACAAAATTGGGGGGGAAGAAGGAGCAGAAAAAGAAGAAAATTTCGCAGGTGCAAACGAAGAACGTCCGCGTTTTACAGAAACAGGATTACAGATACTGGGATTTGTAGTAACAGTACAGTGCAACAACAGTAAGATACCTGAACCGAAAACCGTCTGACAAGCTCTTACGAGCCCTTACCGAGAGAAATGGCGCGAAGCCATGGACAGAGAGCTAGCAGCTCTCAAGAATCGCCGAACATGGGATTTAATACCGACTTCAGAAGTAAAAGGGAAGAAGGTACTTACCGGAAAATGGGTCTTCCGCGTCAAGACTAATGCAGATGGGTCGTTTGAAAAGTTCAAGGCGCGATGGGTCGTCCGCGGATTCGAACAGACTTACGGCATCGACTATGAACTAACTTTTGCTCCTGTCGGCCGACATACAAGCGTTCGGATTCTACTCTGTGTCGCCGCCTGCCGTAATCTGCGACTTCGACAAATCGACGTGTCAAATGCGTTTCTCTACGCGCCCGTCGACGCACTCATCCTGGTAGAGTACCCGCATTCCTCTATTACTAACCCACCGAGCGTATGCCGTCTACGAAAATCCCTGTACGACATTAAACAGGCAGCACGACTCTGGCAGCAGTACCTCCACTCACAGCTGATTACTGCCGGATTTCGACAGTTACCGCATGACCAGGGAATGTATCTTCTAACCGACGGCAGCAACTACATTTTACTCGTCGCCTACGTCGATGACATCCTCTTCGTCACTACTACCGATTCCCTTGCCGATATCTTCATACTGAAATTACAGAAAACTCTACAGCTTACCGTCTTCGAAACAGTCTCACAGTTTCTTGGTCTGAATATTAACTGTTCACCGACGACTATTCATCTCACCGCTTCGAAGTACGCAGCAACGCTCGCTGCCCGCTTCAACCTCACACCTACTGCAGTCTCTATATCGTACCGCTCATTACCGACTGACCACAAACCGAACACTGCACTGTTAAACTCAACCGGTTTACAAATCTATCAACAGCAGTTAGGCTGTCTACTCTTCGCCGCTGTCACATGTCGTCCCGATCTAGCTTACGCGGCCAGTCAGCTCGCTCAGTTCCTCCGCCGTCCCGAAAAAGAACATCAGCTTGATCTTCTCCGTGCGCTTCAGTATTTCATCTCGACACCTAACGTCGGTTTAGTCTACAACGTCATCGGTTGCAAAACACTATATCTACACGGTTTCGTCGACGCCGATCACGCTGCTGACTCTACTAACCGACGGTCGCGCACTGGATTCATATACCGGCTTGAACCTATCGGACCTATTTCTTGGAATTCGACGAAGCAGGAACTGATTGCTCTCTCCTCTGCTGAAGCTGAGTTTATTGCTGTCTGCACAGCAACACGCGAAGGACTTTACTTACAGGAACTATTGGAAGAAGCGAAGTTGACGACGACTACCCAGTTTACCCTACAGTGCGACAATCAAAGTGCAATTCGTATCGCACATCAGCCTGTCTTCGTCAACAGGACGAAACATATTTCTCTGCGTTCTTTTTTCGTCAAGGACGAAGTCGAGAAGGGGAGAATGCGATTGGTCTACTGTTCGACCGACGAAATGGCTGTCGATTTCCTTACGAAGAAGCTGATACGACAGAAGTTCCAATACTGTAACAAGCTCTGCGGAATCTTCAAGAAGTGACACTATCGAACTTCCAGAAATGAAGGGGAGTGTTTTGATATAATTGACACTTAGCAACTCTGTAAGTCGATTAAGTGTAGTTAGTGTCGAATCATACTGTAGAAGATAAGTCTGTAGTATGACGTTGTCGAGTGACCCGCTGGGGGTGCCCTTGAGATCCTCGGGGAAGGGCCACAGGTGCAGAGCCTGGGGGGCTATGGGCGCACTTACCCGCTATTCAATAAGCCCTTTTAACCCAGTGGTTAGTGGCTGGGTTTCTGACATGGTATCAGAGCCAAAGGTCTTGGGTTCAACTCCCAGTGCCAGCGCTGCAGAGGCGCTCGTGTCTTCCACCTATCCCAGCGGGGGGGGGGGTGTCGAGTGACCCGCTGGGGTTGCCCTTGAGATCCTCGGGGAAGGGCCACAGGTGCAGAGCCTGGGGGGCTATGGGCGCACTTACCCGCTATTCAACAAGCCCTTTTAACCCAGTGGTTAGTGACTGGGTTTCTGACAGACGTTAGCAAATAGCGCTCGTCATAGGACAGTCGTTTCAGTCACGCGAACAGTCGCATCTCTTCATTATCATCTAGGGCGCATAGCGCGATAGTGACGAAAAGGTACATTAGTGAATAGGTACTTTTCCTAGAACTATAAATCCTTGTTAGGTCTTTTTCATTATTAACTTTTGCTTACTCACAAGTTCACGTACTCAAGTTATTCAGCCTTGACCTTTACATTTTACAAGACTTCCGCTGTCTTACTAGTCTACCATTCCAGCAAAGATCCTGGACCAACACTTGAGGATTTGCCAAGTGTTCGTGTTTATAGTTTTATACTGAGTCTCTTACAACATCAGACGATTTATTTCAATGATGACCATGCACTGCTGCTAATTCTTACTGCTGCAGCTACCCACTCTGCACTGGATCGGACAGTCCTCCGCTCAGGTCTGCTGCTGCTCAGCTTGCAGACATACTACCGGTACCAGCTGCATCATTATCAGCTGGACTGGCCTATTGAATGTTGATAATTCCATAAATGCTCCACCATATATATCCATTGATTTCCCATTCCTACCAGCCCACATGCACAAATCTACTCACACAAATCCGGCATTCTACATTTGAGTTCAAGGGCTGCAGCTCCGGTGAACATCAACAGGTGGTGGTGACAAACACCCAAACCACGACAAGAGTCTTGAGAACACTGATCTCTTCTTCTTGCCTTGCTTCTTCCAGCTCCTGCCCACTTCACCCTTGCAGCTCCATTCCTCCAAGCTGCACACCTGCCCCATCCTCTCCCCTCTCTGCCCCTTACCCCTCACCCCACTCCCATTCCCATTCTCCATCCCAGTGCCATCAGCATCAGAAATGACCACCACGGCATCATCCTCGTCGACCCCCTCCATGCGCTTGAGCTCCATCATATCGTGCTTCCACATGGACCGCGCCACCGATTTCATCCGCCTGCTGCGCCGCTTCTCACTGCGCTGCCTCTCGTCCAGCATCGCCTGCACCTCCCTCACTCTCTCCTCCTGCTCCACTGCCTCCTTATGAGCCTGGCTTGCGCTCGGCAGCGCTCCCAGCACTGAGCCGTCCAGCTCGCTTGGCACGTGGGATGAGTTGCCTATCGTGGCATCCACTGTTGCGGTCTCCTCCCACTCTCTCTCGCTCCCACATTCCTGACTCTCCTCCCCTTCCTCTGTCTCGTCCTCTGCGTCCTCCACCACTTCACTCTCTTCCTGGCTGTTTGCCAGCACTTCGCTCTCCTGCTCCTCACTCTCCTCTTCTCCCTCCTCGCTTTTCTCCTCCTCCTTGCTCTCCTCCTCCTCCTCTTCCTCCTCCTCGGCACCAACCAGGCTTGATTCCTCAGCTTCCTCAAATCCATCCTCCTCCAATGTCTCTGACTCTTCCTCACTCTCCTCCTCCTCCTCTTTCTCCTCATTGTCGCCGCCGTCATCCTCCCCCTCCTCTTCATCCTCCTCCTCACCATAGCTTACATACTCGCCATCACTTGACTCATCATCCTCCTCGCCATCGCTTACATACTCATCATCACCCTCACTCTCGCACTCCTCGCCCTCCTCCCCTTCCTCCACGCCACTCCCCTCGTCTTCCTCCTCTGCCTCCATCATCGACCTTGACACCGCCTTTTGCACGCTCAGCGGCGCTCGCACGCCCTGGCTGCTGCCGCTGCTTATGCTGCTCCTGCTGCTGCTGCTCGTGCTCATGTTACTACGGCTCTCACCGCCCCTACCACCCACCACCACATACCGCACATCTCCACCATGATCTCTCACTTCCCATCGTTTCCGCCCACAACTGCCTCCTACGGCCCTGCCTGTCTGTGCCTGCTGCAGCGCCATCCTCGTATCACACAGAGCAGCCGGGCCAGCAACAGGAGCAGCAGAGCCACTGGCCAGCGCTGCTCCCTGCCTCGGCGTCCTTTCTGCTTGTGCCACAGGCCCTCTTCCTTGCCCCTCCACCGCACCCACACCACCACCCCTCCTCGCCCCTCCTGCCGTACTCGCACCTCCGCCCCCTGCTCTCCTGCCATCCCTTGCAGCAGCAGCAGCAGCGGCGGCAGCAGCGGCGGCAGCAGCGGCAGCAGCAGCGGCAGCAGGGGCCCCTCTGTTCCTCCCAGTCACACTGCCTGAAGCCATGGAGGAGGGAGCAGGCGAGCCATGGAGGGGAGGCAACCCACCACCCCCCTTCCCCCCAGGACCACCCGTCCCCGCACTGCCTGGCTTCCGCCCCGCCCCCCTTCCTGCCGCTCCTGCTGCTGCTGTGCCTCTGCTTGTCGCTGCCGAGGGGGCAGGGACGGACGGCCAAAGCGCCGGCACTACTGCTGCTGGGAGGGGGGGCGGGGTGAGGGAGGGCGAGGAGCAGGGGGAGGAGGAGGGGGAGGAGGAGTACCAGGAGGACGACGAGCAGGCGGAGGTTGTAGCGGACGAGGTGGTCCTTGGCCGTCCTGTGATGGCGGTTGTAGCGGTGGTGGCAGTCGTGGTGCTGCTGGTGGTAGAGGTAGCGCTAGAGTGGCACGGAGACCCCTTACCCTTTCGCGGGTTTGGCCTCTTCTCGACCAACCATGAAGAAATCGGTGGCTTTCTAGCGCACATGCTGCTCTCTCTTTGCCTCTGCGTGTTGCTGTGAATGCTGCTGCCCCTGCCACCGCCCCTGCTCCTGCTGCTGCTCTTGCTCATCATCCCTTTGGCAGACTCACACGTGGCTTTCTCCCTAGCAGCAATGGCTGCCTCTGCTCGTTTCTTGGCTCGGGCCACAGCAGCAGCAACGGCAGCGTCAGGAACAGCAGCAGCGGCGCTTCTCTTCCCCTTCGCACTCCCTGCTGTCCGCCCTCCTGCCACCTTCGCTTGTGCCCCAAGTTTTCTCCCTGCAGCCGCAGCTGCTGTTCCTGCTGCTTCGGCCATTCCTGTTGCTCCCGCTGCTCCTGCTGTCGGCGTGGGTGCACCGCGTTGACCCAAGACCCGTTGCCGCTTGCACGGCGTGGCAGCAGAAGCGTCACCACCCGTGCTGCTGAGCCCATGCACCAGAGGGGCGCCCAGCACAGACTCCGAGCGCACACCAGCCCGTGCTTCCAGGCTGCAGCCATTGCTACTCTTGCTGCCGCCACTGCTGCTGTCTCGGTCGCTGCGGTGCCGGGGCGATAGGGTGACCGATGGCAGGCCCGGGGCTCGTGGGATGCGACTGGGAGGCAGTGCCTCTTCACTCCTCCCCTTGCTCGCACTGCTCTCGCTAGCCGTTGCCACTGCAATCAGCGGTAATACTTCTGCTGCTGCGGCTGCTGCTTGCGGTGCTCCCGCCTCCTCCTCGTCGCCCTCTATCCCCTCCCCCATACAATCCGCAGTAGCTGCCTGAGCCAAGAATACAACCGCTTCCGTTGTTTCATCTACCAGGATGGGCCCGCATCCCACCGCTTCCACGCAGCTACTGCTGCTCTGAGCTGGCTCCCACGGGCAAGCAAGGGCGGCGGGAGAGGTGCCAGCAGAGGTGAGAGCAGCAACGTGAGGGGCTGCTTCCAAGGTTCTAGCACCAGGAGTGCTACTGAGAGGAGAATGCTCGCTATGAGGTGCTATTGCGGCTATTGCCGTGTCACTGGCAAGAACCGGGTGTGCCGCTCCGACTTCAGAACCAGAAACTGAAGCAGCAGCCGCAGTAGAAGCAGCAGCAGCAGTGGCAGGAGGAGCAGGATGCAGAGGCGCGGAGGCGGAAGGGCGTGGGGAGGTCCGCGGTTGACTGTTGGCCGTCGCGTGGCACGGAGAAGGGGCGGCGTTACTTGGCACGAGAGCTGCAACCGCTGATGCTTCTCCGGCTGTTCGTTCTACAGGCATAACTGCTGCTGCTGCTGCTGCTGCTGCTGTGGATGGTGGTGGTGCTGCCGCTGCTTCGTGAGCCGGCGCAACAGCCCAGAGCTCAGGCGGCGCACGAGCAGGGGAAACGAGACAGCAAGTGGCACCCTGCCGCACCTCCCCACTCGCCGCTTCCGCTTGCTGCAGCTCGAGCTCCCGTGCTTCTGAGCCGCCTGCTTCCGTCATACTTGTCTCTCTGACTTTGCCCGTGCTCTTGTTAGTGCCCCCCGTGGCTGCTGCGTCCTTCTCTGGAGTCACTGCTTGCGCCGTTACTGCACCGGCCACAGTCACCAAGGTACCACCGACAACATGTGACCCCGCAGTACTGAATAGCATCGCGGCATCAGCAGCAGCAGCAGAATAAGTCGCAGCAGCAGCAGCATGGGCATTGGTGGCTTGGATGGCGTGCGCATAGAACAGCGTCTTGCCAGCACCAGCTGCCTGGGGGGAAGCGCCTGGTGGGCAGGCAGCGGCAGCAGCACCAGGGGGAGAGGTGGAAGAGGGGCCGAGGTGGGGCGGCACGGCATGCTGCGCAGGAGGTGCCAGGCGGGGCTGGCGCGGTGGGAAGGCCGCATGAGGAACGGCAGCCGCGGGGAGAGATGCTGCTGATGATTCCACCTCCTCGCCGCGATCCTCCGCATCGACTTTAGCTGAGCCAATCAGTTTCCTGCACGTCTCGCCCGCGCTTATCGCCACAGCAGCAACCGCAGCAGCCGCCGCAGCCGCCGCCGCAGGGGCAGCGGAGGCAGTGGCGGTGGAGCCGCATGGGGGCTGCTCCTCGAGTTCCAGCAGCAGCGAGGGCGGTGGGATGGGCCCGAGTCGCCTGGCGGGCGCCGCCACGCCGAAGTGGCGCACCACCCACGCGTCGTTCAGCACCTCCTCCGCCGACGGCCGCCGCGCCGCCTCCACCTGTTGCCGCGGCACCGCAGGGGGAGAGGGGCTCGGGGGAAAGGGTTGGCATGCGCGGTCAAGTGATTTATAACAAGCATAACAAAAAGTAGAAAGTAAAAAGCTTCACTATGACCGCAGTCGATTCGGTATAGTGCCATCCCGGTGTGCGAGTCGCACATCATACCTGCAGCATTCGCGCGACCAGTCGCTTGGCGTCGCCCGGCACGGACGGCCACGGCTTGGACGTCAGATTGAGGCGCCCCTCCACGATCCGACGGCCCAGCTCGTCGTCGTCGCGGCCACGGAACGGCAGGCAGCCGGACAGCATCGCGTACAGCACCACCCCCAGCGACCAGATGTCGGCTTTAAAGTCGAACGGCTCGAATCGAATCAACTCGGGCGCCTCGTACAGCCGGCTGCCCGCCACGTCGGACGTCTTCTCCCCGGGAGCGAGAAACACGGCGAATCCGAAGTCCGCGAGCCGCACGTGCCACTGCAGCATCGCGCGCTGACTCGAGCTCCGCGCGCCCAGCCCCGTGAGCGCCTTCCCCACCGCGCGGGTCGTGGCCCCGCCGACAGCTGCGGCGGATTTGGCGGCGGATTTGGCGGCGGCGGCCACTCCGCCACCGGGTGCGCCGGCTTGTTGCACTGGCCGGCGGAAGTTCTGCGACTCGCCGGCTCTATTCTGGCTGCCAGGAGCAGGAGCAGTCAGCACTGACGCCTTCTTACCGGTAATCGTCGCATTAGCGTTATCTGCGGGCCGTTCGATGTTGAATTGCTGCGCCGTCAGCGGCATCGCCTCCTCTCCTCCCTCAACGGTCGAGTTGCTATCCTTCCGAGCCTGCTCCGCCTCCTTCTCTTCCCCATCCTCCTCCTCCTGCTGCTGCTTCAACTGCTGCCACCGGGGCGTCCGTTGCGCCTGGTCTTTCGAGCTGGGATTCATTTCCTGCTGCTGCAACTGCTGTCCTCGCGTGAGCAGGATGTTTTCGGGCTTGAGGTCGCGGTGCAGCACGCCCTGCGCGTGGCAGAACTGCACGGCGGACGCCAGCTGGCGGAAAAGGTGCGCCGCCTCCAGCGGGTGCAGCCGCCCATCGCCCACGATCTTGTCGAACAGCTCGCCGCCCTCGCAGTGCTCCATAATTAAGTACACCGCCTCGTTATCCTCCAATACCTCTTGGAGCCGCACCACGCCGCCGTGCCGCCCCGCCAGCGTGCGCATCACCGCCACCTCGCGCCGCACCTCGTCGCGGTCCCACGCGGACTCGAGCCCGCACTTGCCGATCTTCTTGCACGCGTACGTCTCTCCCGACGCGCGGTCCTCCACCAGCCACACGGTGCCGTGCCGCCCCTCGCCGATCTGCGACACGAACTCGTACGCCGCGTTGACATCGCGGTCGGGGCGTGCCGTGATCGCGGGGAACACGCGGAACGAGTAGGCGGGGGAGGAAGCTGAGTGGAGAGCGAAAGAATGGGGGAAAGGCTCGTGGGGGAGATGCGGGGAAGTGGTTGAAGCGGAAGAATTGCTGGTGGTAGGCGCGTGGGCAGGTTCGGATGGGGTTGGGATGGGTGCGGATAGGGTGATAGCGGGCCACGCGCCCACGCTGACGGCACCACCGCTGCCGGGAGGCATGTCTGCGCTGCGACGGTGACGGAGTAAGCGACCACGTAGTCGATCGCGTAGTTAGCTCTATTGGTGATTAGCTGGAAAGGAGAACTCGCTTTGAAGGAGTGTATTTGGATGGGGTTTGAGGGGGCGTAAGATGCGTCTATGCACGGTCGAATGGCTGCGCTAGCTTCTAAAACAGTTTGGAGCCTGCTATACTTCGGCTACCGGCCTCGCAAGATGCGACGCGATGGATGCCGTGCCCCGGATTCCTCCTAAGAGCCATACTATGCGGTCTGGATTGGGGTTGTAAAAGGCGTCGAATTCACCTTCTAGCTAGACGCGGTGCCCTTTTCTCTCCCTAGAGAGTGCAGAAGAATGGGACAATGGAGTCGAGCGTACGGACATAAAGGCTGAAGAAGAAGTACTACCGCGGTTCTTTCCTGGGGATCTAACGAGGTCGAGTTGTGTGAGTTAGGGGTGGAGGGGGAGAACTGCTTGGACTGCGAGCACCTTGGTCAAGGGCATACGTTGGTTTTCCTGGCTGGTGCTGGGATGGGAATAGAAATTCGGTCACGGGAAACTGTGTCGCGTCGAGCTTTGTCCCAAAATGTTAGCAGAACCAAGCCTCTGGAGCAAGTTCCCGAGTCGCAAATCCTGCAGGGCTTGTGTTCATTTGACAAATTGTTCGCGAGTGCAGACGAGGGCAAGATTTGGTCATGGGATGTCAGGCGAGGCGACTGGCGAAAAGGGCCCTGAAACTTTCGCCTGGAAGGGAGACCTTCGCATGGAGCGCCATGTCTACTGCGCACATGGCGAGATACCGCCAGCTTGACTGGCTGACCATCAGGTCTCCCCTGTCGCAGACGGGGTCGCATCGCTGTGCGAGAGTGCACTGACAGATTGGTCGCCAGGCAAGTGAGGGGCACTTCAGAGGCGCGCAGCGAACACGGACCGAACTTCCCTCCTCAGCCAACGAGCAAATTTTCACGGAACACTTCCAGGAAATGACCTCGTCACCCCCAACAGCCTTCGCCCATGCCACCCTAACATGGTGAGTAGTGTTATGGAGGAAATTTGATAAAAAAATGGCATTTCCTTTCTAACATTAGCTATATTGCCTCCATAGCTAGAACTTATGGCCCATGACCATAGCCATGAAGAATCTGTTGGAAATCGGACTATGCCACATAGAGGAAGCATTGAACCAGTATTGAACAAATACAAGGATTTGTACTACTCTCTAGGCTCCTCCAAGAGCCCTTCTAGCTTCACCAAGAAGCTTCGTGCACTCCAAAGTGCTTGACCCCTCCACACCCATAATGCCAAACCAATAAAGGAGTGGCAATAATGGAGTCAAGCTAGCCTAAATAATTCTAGGACCAATAATGCATAGATTCGACCCTTTGCACCCCATACTAGCATTCTCACTTGGGAACAACACCTACCATCACTAACCTAATAATCTCAAATTGTATACTCTTGCATTTGTATTTCCAACACCCCCCCTTGATGGTGTAGGTGTTGTTTCAGCCAAAATTGAGGTTGTAACCCTGCTGACGTGGATCCATTGATCCTTCCTCAAGGTACGCGAACACGCCCCGCTAAGGGTTTGGTCTTGTGAGACGCGTACCAACCAACCAACCATGGTACCTCATTTCGAATTCAGCTGCTCCAAATCGCGAAGCTCCACTAGCTCTCAAGGAGCTCGTTGCTAGGCCAGACTTTAGGCAAATCCCGAGTTGGAATGCTTGACGCGCATGGCGCCATCTGTCCTTCGCCATTCTCCTCACAATCTTGAGATATAAAAGAGGGGCTGCTTGAAACACTCATAATTCATTTAGCCGTAGCTCCCTTACAATTCCATCAGCTCATCACTGTTAAGACTAGAAAGAATGATTAGAAGAAGGGAGAACAAGGGAGATATAGCATATGGGTTGTACCCACTAAGAATATACCCTATCTAGCCTATAACTTATATATAATAATAAATGAATAAATTGACACACCCCCTAGGCTAGATAAGGGGTAGTGCTGAGCAAGAAACGCGCAGCTCAGGGTGCCACTACTAGTCCAACCTCTGAGGCAGGGGCCCGAAGACCAGTCACCAAGAGTACAAGCAAGACAGAGCAAACCAGGGCGGCACTACTAGTCCAACCACAGGAGGAATAGCCACAAGGCCAGTCTGCAAGGAATATATAGAAAAGAGTACACAATCAAGGGCCTAGCAAGTGAGAGTCAATAGGGACTAGACCTAACTACAAGCAGTACCGCTGATGATCTATAGGCGGAAGCACCTTAGTAAAGATATCAGCTGTGTTGGCACCGGAGGCCAAGTGTACTACGCGGGCCTGACGACGCTGCTAAAGCTCGCGCAAGAGGAAGTACCGCAACTGGATGTGCTTCGCTTTGCCCTCAAGTCGAGGCTCATGACACAGGAGGATCATGGCCCTGTTGTCAGCGCACAGAACCGGGGCAGAGCTAGGCCGCTCACCTAAGTCGGCAAGCAAGAAGGTAAGCCAGCGGAGCTCCTATGCCGCCATGGCACCGGCGTAGATCTCAGCCTCACGGCTAGACTGAGCAACAGACGAGGAGCAAGTGGACCTCCACGAGATGGCACAAGAACCAAGGCTGAAGCAGTAGCCCTGGGAGGACCGGAGGGTCTCAGCGTCGTCTGCCCAAGAAGCGTCTGTGTGCACTGTAAAGACCACATGGCCTGCGTCCTCCCAGCACTAGCCCCATGCCCGATGTACTTGCACGATAACGCAAAACCCTCTTAGCGGCCGACCAGTGATGTGGTCGATGTCTGCCTGTGGCCATAAAGCAGGCCAGGATGCTGAGAGAATATGCGAGATCTGGGCGAGTGCAAGTCATCAGGTACATGAGGCAACCCACCAGCTCTGCGTAAGGACCACTGGGCTCTGCTGACTCCTCGGGAACTGGAGCTGAGAGCCTGTGGTCTACCCGCAGAGGTGTGGGCTGTGCGGAGGAGAACTGAAGACCGAACCTTTGAAGGACCTGACGCACCAAGTGTGACTGTGTAAGAGTGATGGTGCGCGCTGCTCTGTCCCTAGAGATCTGCAGGCCAAGGTAGCGGCGCAGCTCTCCAAGGTCAGTGCAGGTGTGTCGCCTCAGCAATTCAGCCTTCACGGAGGCCAGCGCGTCTCTGTCTGCTGTAGCAAAGACCAGGTTGTCTACGTAGACTGGGATGTGGAACGGAGTCTGGCCAGCACGAACGAAGAACGAAGGATTAGCAGAGGATGGAAAGAACTGCAGGTTAGCTAGTGTGGCACGCAGCATGTCATGCCATTCATGGGGCACCTGTCGCAAGCTGTAGACGGGGCGCCGGAGGAGCCACTGGGTCCCAGGAAGGAAAGTACCGGTGAAGCCCTAAGGACGGTGCAGGTAGAGCTGCTCGTGTAGGCTGCCCTGAAGAAAAGCAGTGGAGAAGTCAGGGGAGTGGAGTTCGTAGTCACGATGTGCTGCTACGTGTAGCAGCGCCCGAAGAGTAGTCATCTTCGGGGTCGGGGCGACGGTCTGAAAGAAGTCCACTCCCTCTCGCTGACTGAAGCCTCGAGCCACGTAGCACGCCTTGAACACAGGCGGCTCTCCAGGGGGGAGCTTCACCTTGAAGAGTCAGTGGCCATCGACTACGTTCACCCCAGGTGGGGGAACTGCGTCGACGTAAGTGCTGGTAGCCCTCCAAGATGCCATCTCCTGCTCCATGGAAGCTATCCACTGAGAGGCCCAGGGTCCCGAGGTGGCCTCAGGGTAAGTGCGAGGGGTCGGGATGTCAAAGGCGTCGGGGTCACCCTCAGGGACTAGCAGCATGGAACAGAGATGGGGAGCAACCTCTGATAGGGAAGCAAGCTCGTACTACTGGTCCTACAAGACGTCAGTGCCGAGGGCAGGAGCACCCCCTACAGACGGAGGACAGACAGGGTCAGAGACCAGAGTGGTAGCGAAGTCAAGGCGGCGACTAGAGGCAAAGTCAGGGACAGAAGCTACAAGAGCGTCAAGATAGGAGACACGAACAGACGGGTCGGTAACAAGGGAGGCAAGGACCCGAGGAACAAGAGGACGAGCAGCACGAAGGTAGTCAGACAGAGGGGGAGGCGCGACAGTGAGCGACGATGGAGGAGGCGAAGGCAAACGGGGAGGACGAGACACATGGAAATGAAGCAACATAGGGTGAGAATGCTGAATTAGAGAGACAGGACGAGGACGAGAGGGACGGCGAGACCAGACGTGAGACGGAGGCGTCGAGTCAGGAGACAGAGGAGTAACAGGAGGGGAGCGAGAGGGGAAACGAGCCGGGGACAAGTCTGGCAGAGGAAACACAGGACCGTGAACAGGAAGAGGGGGAGACGACGAGGGAGGCGGAGGCGAGCGGTCAGGGGAGGGAAGGCAGAGCAGAAGAAGGGTGGACACCGGCGGCGACTGCTGCGGCTGCTGCTCAACGCCGACATCTGGACTACCAGTTGCACCACTGCTACCTCCGGTACACTCCACGCCAGCACCCCCAGAACCAGGAACGTCTCCAGCGCCGGTGCCACCCCCAAGCCCATCGGGACAAGCCACAACAGGAGCCCCAAGACTAGCACCCTCTCCATTTCCAGCACCCTCAGAGTCCACGAACGGCTGCGGCTATGACGACGGCTACTGCTGCGACGGCGGTAACGGCAGCGGCTACGGTGGCGGCTGCGGCTACGGTGGCGACTGTAACGAGGGAAGAGGAGACACCGGGGGAGGGACAGGCAACGCAGACTGCGCCGCGGGGCCATCGGAGTCAGCCGACTCCTCGACCGGGACAACCGACGGGAGGGGAGTGATGTGAGACACATCAGACAGAGGAGGACGGGGAGGAAGGGGAGCAGGGGCGATCGGGGGAGTGGGAACCAGAAATAGGGGGGGTGGAAACTGGGAGACCTCGGTGAGGAAAGCGGTGGAAAAAGGAGACAGACTCGTCGAAAGTGACGTCACGGGAGTGAAGGAAGCGGCGTGACAGCGGGTGGTAGAAGTGCCAGTCAGACGAGTCAAGGGGGACATCGAGGAAGACACACGGGACGATGCGGGCGGTGAGCTTGTCTGCGCCGGAGGCACGAACGTGAGCAAGGCAGCTCCAGACGAGGAACGCAAACGCGTCACCAGGGAACCCGGTCCAAAGGAGGGTCGGCGAAACCTGCGGCCGCTGAGAGCGAGGCCAGAGGTTAAGCTGGTGAGCGGCGTAGCGAACTGCGAATGGCCACAGAAAATGGGGTGCACCGGTATGGATCATGGAGGTACGAGCCACTTCCATGACCAAACCGATGCGTCGCTCAGCGACCCCATTCTGCTGCGGGGAGTCCGGTAGGGTGTACCACTGGGTGATACCCTCCGCACGACAGAACTGATCCAGCCGACCAGAGGCGAACTCACCGCCACGGTCGGAGTGGAGACACAGCACAGGGAGACTGCAGTGGAGGCGCGCAGCGACGAGCCACGGGATAAGAATGTCAGGCACGTCGGCCCTCCACTTTA